GCAAGATACCATTTACATTAACAAAAAAATTAAAAAATTAAGAATAAATTTTATAAAGTTGTATAAGCCCTTATGATAAAAATTATAAAATTTTAGTGAAAGACATTAAAGAAGACCTAAACAAATGGAAAGTTATACTATATTCTTTGACAGGAAGACTCAATATCAAAAAGATTACAGTTCTTTCCTAGACAAACTATAGATTCAAGGCAATTCTAGTGAAAGTTACAAAGTTTTCCATAGAAATTAAGAAATCGACTAAAATTTTTAAATTCTTGGCAAGGGGCCAGAGGTAATCACAGCATTCCTAAAGAACAACAAGAAAGTAGGGAGACTGTCCTGCCAGATACCATGACTTATTACTATATAAGCTATCAAGATACTGTGATCTTGGCTTAAGGATAGATAAATAGACCAATGGGACTGAATACAGATCCAGAAATAAACCCTCACATATATGGAAATTTGATTTTTTGCAAATTGGTAAGGAAAGATTGTACTGCTTAATAAATGGTGCTGAGATGATTAAGTATCCATGTAGGGGAAAACTGGGTCCCTACTGTATACCCTTCAAAAAGTCAATTCGAGTTAGATTAATGGCTTAGATGTGAAGGGCAACACAATGAAAATTTTAGAAGGTAACGTAGGATATATCTTTTTAGAATTTCAGGATCGGGAGGGATTTCTTAAACATGACATGGAAAGTGCAAACCATAAAGGAAAGGATTGATAAATTCAGCTACATAAAAACTACGAACTTCAGATCATCAAAAAAACACCGCAAAGGGAGTGAAAAGATAACCCCTAAATTAGAAGTTGTTTGTAATAACAAAAAAAATGAAAAAGGATTATACGAATATATAAAGAATATATGAAGAATTCCTACAAGTCTAAAAGAAAATGGGCAAAAGACATCAGCAGGACTTTGACCAAAGAGTAACACAAATGGCCCATAAACATCTAAAAAGATTGTCTATTTCATTAATAATCACAGAAATGAAATTTCAAATCACAAGATATCATTTCAAACCCACCATGCTGACAGAATATAAGAAGTCAGAGGTTACCAGGCATTGGTGATGATATGGATCCCTGAGAACTGCTGGTGGGAATGTAAATGGGGAAAACTCTGGGAAACAGTGAGGCATCGCCTACATACACAGAGCCTTCATAGCAACATGTCCACAAAAACAAAAACCTGCGAGCAGCTCAAAAGTCCTTTAGCAATAGATTAATTGTGATATATTCAGAAAATGGAATATTGCAAAGCAGTGAAAATGAATGAACTGCAGTCACATGCATCAACACAGATAAATCTCAGCAACATACTGAGAGAATGAAACAAGCACGGTAGAATAAATGCAGTACGGTTTCATCAGTATAAAGTTCAAAATCAAGCAAGACTAAACAAACAATCTTGTTTATGGATATATGCATAGGCGGTAAAGCTATAAAGAAAAACAAATTAATGATGAATTCAGCTACATTAAAACCGAGAACTTCAGTTCATCAAAACACACACCACAAAAAATCACCTTGGGGAGAGGCTGAACTGACATCTAAGGGGTAATTTCACAACCTGAGTAGTGGGCACATGACAGTGTATTTTATTCTTTTTTTATAACTGTACATATTTAGTTCATGTACTTTTCTGTACATACAATAAACCAACCAACCAACCCATTGCTGTCAAGTCAATTCAGATTCATAGTGACATTATTGGACAGAATAGACCTGCCCCCATAGGGTTTCCAAGGAGTGGCTGGTGGATTCGAACTGCTGACCTTTTGGTTAGCAGCCAAACACTTAACTGCTGCACCACCAGAGCCCCATATACAATATATCTCACAATTAAAATGTTTTAAATAATGAGTTAGATCGCCTCAGGGGCACTTCTTTCTTTTTGATTTTAAAATTTCATAAAATTCAGACTCATCTGAAAAGTTTAAAATCAACGTAATTATATGCCAAAACTCTGGACTCTCAGATCTGAAAGTGTCCTCAGTTACCACCTAGCCCCTTCACTTCTCAAATAAGGTAACTGAGTCCCAGAGAAGTAAGGTAACTTTCCCAAAGTCACCAGCACCTGAGTGGCAGAATAGGAACATGGACAAAGGTCCAGTGATGACATGGCATATCTGTGTGTGAGCCCTCCTTCTAGGCATTATATTTTCAGTGACCATTCGTTCTGGATTTTTCTCAAAGCAGTTTTAACTTTTCATATTCTGTCCCATTGTCGAACCGTATGCTCTTCTTTTTCATTCATGGAATAATGCCTGCCCCAGGTGTATTAATCCCACATCAGTTCCATACTGCAAGTCCTGTCCAGGCCTTTCCTGTTATTTGAGGCCCTGGCTCTGCTCAACCTAATACACATGTCTTGGGCTGGTCCAGCTTGCCTTCCATCCTTCTGTTCCCCACTGTACTTCCAGGAACCCCTGAGATTCTCATTAACCTTTACATCCTTTCTACCAAAAACTTCCTCCTTCAGCTCCTTGGGGGAAATGGAGGAACTGATTGTTCCAAGTTTTCTAAGGGCCTCCTGGTTTTCTCCACTGGGAGAGGTGGCTCAGGGGGTGGAGTTGGCACGGGAAACAAAGGAGAGAAAAGAAGGGAAAAAACAGGAGCTATTTCCAAACGAGGTCGTAGGCCATGACTTAACTAATTCCACAGCCATGAAGTCAATTGATCTGCCACCTGCACAACCAGAACAGCGTGTACTCTGGCCTAGCCTGCCCTCAAAACCAGGCATTGTTTGATGTGATGAATTTTCATGAGGCCTCATGGAAGATGAAACCTTGCCCACCTCCCACTTCCACCACCACCCCATCCATATGCCCTGCCTCTCCATGGGGTGGTCTTCAAGGGCCCCCAGCTCCACTACACACTGAGTTTAAAATGTTTAGGCACATGGTAAGCCCTGAAGTAAGCTCTCCTTCTGATAGACTCACAGGATGTCAGTTGTAGACGAAAATTCAGGTCGTTTCTAGCGCAAGCTCTTTGTTTTACATACAAGTGAACAAAAGCCCCAGAGAAAAGAAAACCAAGTTCATTGTCACCTAGAGAATTAGTGACTCCCAGACTACTGTGTCTTCACTGTCCTGCGCTGTTTCTCCTGGGGCTGTGACCTCCAGAGCCACCCGCCTCTCACTCTGCCTGACCCTTTAAGCCTGTCTCTGGCCCACAAAGGTGAACAAATAATTGTGAAATATTTCTGGCATTCACCTGGAAATTCCTCCTATTTTTTAACCTGACTACTATTGCAGAAAAATTTTTCCTGTTAAAGATCAGGTAGTATTTACTGGGGTGATGTCACCCCAGCCCAGGCCTGCTCCTCAGACCTGCAGGCTTGGAAACTCCATCTCCTTGGCTTCCCCATCATTGATCACACTTGAGAATCTGACTTGTTCTAACAAAGTCCTTGGGAAACCAATGTATCAAGCCAGAATGCCTGCTGATTAATGTACAAGAGCTGTAACTCTCAGTTGAAATAGTTCATTGTGGCCTGGCCAGCTCCTTCTCTCCAAAAGACAGCCTATTTGGAAAGTCAGCAATCAGTCAGTCACTTGATGAATGCAGACTTGGAATAAGGGAAGCTGGTCAGAGGACTTGAATGGATTGTCCAGTTCCCTTCCTTTGATGCTTGCAGCCCTCTTCCTGAATGACCCATCCTTGTATTAGGTGGATCAATACACTCAGCAGGTTACTGCCTCTTCCTGCTCCACCATTCACCATTTTGTGTTGATTTCATAACTTAACTTTCAGAGGGAAATTTTATTTCCCACATGCTCAGTCCTTCAGGAGGTGCGTCTCACATGATTCAGTTGTCCAGACAGCTATAAGTCACCTGTCCTTCTGTCATCTGTCCCACATTTCTTCATATTGTCCCCAAGAGATCTTATAAAACACCTTTATGAATCATGTTGCCTCTCTATTCAAAAGCCATCAATGCAGCTGATTGTTTTTGCAGCTGGGTGACCCATCATTATAATCTTCTCCCTGCTTTTCGTACATGTTTGAGATTCTTCCCACCCCCACAAAAAAAAAAAGTTTTTTAAAACTAGGGGGAAAAAGTTATCCATGACTTCTCAGTGTCGCATAAAGTCTGAACTTCTTAAGTTGGATTCATGCTCTCCTCTAGCTGGGCTGAACATCATTTTCCTGTTTTGCTTCCCTCCACTCCCTACAAACACTATGCCACCCCAGCACCACCTCCACAAAATTAAACTTTCAACTTCGGGTGCTCATTCTGTTCTTCCTCTGAGGTACATCAAACTTCCTGTGACCCTCCTCCGCTGATGGTGATCTCTTCCTCCCCACACTCAGCAGCTGTGCTGGCACCACGTGCAGGGCTCACGCCCATGACACCTGGCAATTTTCTATATATTCTTCTCTCTGCATACATTGATAGCGCCTCACAGTTGGAGGATTGCGTCGTATTGCTCTTGGCTGGGAACAGCCCCCCTCTATGCTCTGGTGAAGACAGATTATAAACACCAAGTCACCCCTCGCATTGCCATCCTAAGTTGTCTCTGGTTTGGGATTTGTAGGACGTAGTCCCCTCACTGCTCTGCCCTGGCACAGAATCATGCACACTGAAGAGCCCAGGAAATGTTTAATGGGATGGTTCTGTTATCAAATTCATGATACTACTAGCCGTGCAGAGTTGTGTGAGCCACATGGTCTTACAGTCTTCATCCGTGCATTGAGAGGCTCGTACAACACCAGGGGTTCTCAGTCAGTATGCAGCACAGTCATCCAAGGAATGTGTTAAAATGCAGATTCCTGGGCCCTGCCCCCAGAGAGTCTAATTCAGCCCTAGCATCTGCATCTTAAGAAGCTCTCCAGATGATTCTGATGCAAGTGGTCTTTAGGACATACTTTGAGAAACACTGGCTCCAAAGGCCCAGGAGTTCTGATGACCACTCATAGTCAGACACCAGCCTTTCCCCCAACAAGACCCTAGACTTAACCTGCCCTTGCGTCCTTGTTTCCTCAAGTGTGTGGATGTGGCCTGGCCCAGTCGGGTTTCTTCTTCAAGAACCAGGAGTACATCTGCACCCAGGACTACCAGCAACTCTACGGCACCCGCTGTGACAGCTGCAGGGACTTCATCACAGGCGAGGTCATCTCCGCCCTGGGCCGCACCTACCACCCCAAGTGCTTTGTGTGCAGCCTGTGCAGGTGAGCAGGAGGGGGCAGTGGGGCTGGGACCCTCTGTGTGGCCCCCAGGGGAGGAGAAGAAACGAACTTGTCCCAAGTAGTTCTAGGGCTTAGAGGTTTTATGTTGGACATTTGGATTGCTAGAACCTAGGCCGTGTAGGTCAGTGGTTTTCAAATTGTCTAGCCCCTGAATCCTTTTTATCAAATGCGATCTCATGCAGAACACCCGTTTGTCCTGTAATGAAAGCAGGATGAGGATCCGTGTCCCCACACTCAACCTCCCATTTCCCATCAAGAGGTCCCCAGAGGAACCTCTAAGTAGCCCTGGTCTGGCAGACTCAGTTTGGAAACCATAGATCTGGGTCAGGATCCCAGGGCTCACCCATATGTGGTACAGGGATGTCTCTTTATAGCCTTCTTCCATCATCCTGGTGCCATCTCAGTCTGGCATGGTGACCCTGGCAAGGGAGCCCACCTCTGTAAGCCTCAGCTTCCTCATCTGCAAAATGGGGGTTAAAACTATTCCAATTTCATCAGGTTTTCATGAAGATAAATGAGGTGATGCAAAGACCTCAGCTCAGTGGCTGCTATACAAATGTGTCTGCTTGTATTATTCTTTTTATTATCATATTTACAATCATCCACCCTTCCTTGGATGTCTCTAGAGATGGGTAGCCCACTTCTCCAGCCCCCCATTTCCTACTCACTTGTTAACTTAGCAAACATACATTAAGGACCCACTGTATGCCAGCACTATATTAAAGGATGAAAAAATAAGAAGAAACCTCAGCCCTGCCCACAAATACATTAAAATTTAATGAACGTGCTGCGGGAATAAGAGAAGTAGGGGAAACTCTGTCCTTTCTGTACGGTTTTTCTGTAAATCTAAAACTGCTCTTAAAAATGAAGTCCATTTTTAAAAAATGTAATGGACAGCGCTGATTAAGCCAGAAGTCAAGCATAGTTGAGTATATATGTATATTTTTTTCTATTAGGAAAGGAATTTGTAGATTAATCATTCTTCCCATTAGATAACCACTGGTTAGTAACCAGTTAGAGGAACTAACTGAATAGTTTCTGAATAAGGCTGTAATGACAAGATGTGTAAGAATATACAATTATATATGAGAAAATATATAATTATATGTATAATATATATAATCATATAAGAATATATTGGAATCCATTCATTTATCTATCTTTTAAAACCTGGACCCTGGGCCCTGGAACCCCAGACTCCTTGGAGGTTAGCACAGTAGGGGTCCTTGTGGTATAAAGTGAGGTTTATGTCAAGCCCTGGAGATGAGTGAGGTGACTCCCCAAGGAGTCATGTCAGATCCTTTTACTTCAATGAGAAAACAGCTCCCCTGACTCTCGCCCCAGCATCTCTCCATTGTCCCACATGGCTAGTACAAGGGCAGTGGGGCCACTGGAAGCCTACGCCAGGGCTTATACTCAGAGTCAATATAGAAGGCTTCCCAAATCATATAAGCAAGAGCAGCTGAACGATGGCATCGGTCATGCTGGGGATTCTGTATACAGCTTATAAGTTAACTGGGGAGGCAGAACATGCACTAGTTTGAGACCCCGGAGCATGGAACTCAAGCTGCCCAGATACAGAGGAAGAGGTTGATCTGTGGATTTAGGAGCTTCTTGTTAGGAAGGGGGATTTTGAGAATTGCTGGATGGTGAAAGGGAGAAATTTTGGTAAGTTTGGGAGTGGAATGAGTGCACCTTGACATATGGGGATAGGCCATGTTGGTATAGAAAAGTCCTTCTAGGCAGAGGGAACAACTCTATGAGGAGCTACTAACCTCTTTATTTTACGGATCAGAAAACGTAAGCTCAGATAGGTGTCATGATTTTCCCAACATCAAAGTCATGTAAACGGCCCAACTGGACCTCCAGTTCTGGCCCCCTGGTCCCTAACTGAATGGTTTCAGCAGCCTGGTACTGTGAACAGCCTTCGAATCACCTGGTGCTCTAAAGACAGGCAGTGTGTATTACCAAAGTGCTGTGAGCATGTATGTTGTCAGGTCACCAATAACCATGAGATCACTCGGGAGAGGAGTACTGAATGTTTCTCTCTTCCACCTTCCAGGAAGCCTTTCCCCATTGGAGACAAGGTGACCTTCAGCGGTAAAGAGTGCGTGTGTCAGACGTGCTCCCAGTCCATGACCAGCAGTAAGCCCATCAAGATCCACGGACCAAGCCGTGAGTCCTCCCCACTGGGCACCTTTCAGTCTGTGGGCGCTGTCTCCCTGAGCACCTTTGTCCCTGCACTGTAGGCAAGCAGGGGAGGTTCCCAATCTGGAGGACACCTGAGGCATGACCCAGTTGGCAGATGGACCACACTCACAGAAAAAGCTTCCCTAAGCACAAATGCAGGGAAAACAGGCTGCCCGGCTCTAGACAGTGATGACCTGTGCCACAGATCTGCTACTTGGGTGGTCCCTTCTGGGATGAGCTGGGTTTGATCTCATCTCCCCTCCTGGATCCAGACTCCCAACAGTACCCTCCACAGAGCAGATCAAGTGTTTCTTCCACCAGTGGTTCTTGGTTTTTACAAACTCCACTAAAAGAGAATTTGCAGACATGTCTTACAAAAGGGGAAGCATGAGGCCCTCTGGGAGCAACCACAAGGGCAATGCTCATGTTTTTTAGCGTGTGCTCCAGGGAGCTTGTGGAACTTGTAAAAGTGCAGATTTCTGGGCCCACCTTGGATGGTGAAACCTAGAAATCTACATTCTTAATAAGCTTCCTGTGTGACTCATTTGCCGCTCCTACGATGGAGAACCACTGTGTAGGGATGAGAGGGACAAAAGCCACGCCCTGGGAAATGTTAGGTTTTATCACCTGAACCACAAATTTGGAAGAAAACTGAGAACCAAGAGCATCCCTCAGAGCGAGCATTTTAATTTGTGAAATGTCCATTCCACTCTAGTGTACCTAGAGATAAGATGTCTAAGTCACTGCTCCCAGATGCCCTTGTGAGCTGCTGACTGCATGCACCCCACACACATAGACCCGCCCCCAGCCATGCTGGGCTCCGGCGTTCTTTCATGTTACATGACACTCTCACCGGCCTCATGGACAGAATCAATGAAAACCCATTAGCCTGCTGTGCAGCATCACCATGCAGTATGGGGGGCTGTTGGCCACGGCACCAGCAGAGTCAGCATGCTGGGACTGCCTCCAGCGGAGAATGATGAGCAGAGAACCCCAGATCAGCAGGGCTAGGCTCCCAAGAGCTCCATTAAAGTCTGTCCAGCCGTGAAAAGCTGGAGAGAAAGACAGTGGGAAGGCTCCCGTATTTGCCCTTCCTTTCAGTCAAATCAGATCTGCTCCTCCTTCCACTTCCTTGGTGATGCTCAAGAACAGTTTGATGCTTTGACCAGGTTTCCATCTCAATGTAGCTGAGTGCACACACCATTATCCTTCTTAACTCCTTGAAAGCATCATTCAGAATGACAGCAAGGCTGGGATGCTGAGATGCTGCAGAGGAGCCAGAGACCAGCAGGACTTCATGGGAGGAGATAGAGAGAGAGGCGAGCTGGGAGTCAGGAGGCTACTATCCTTCTGCGTGATGCAAAGCAGTCCCTGAGACTCAGTTTATCCAGCTGTAAAAGAGGGATAGAATTCCTTGCTCTTATCTTTCTCACATGAGTGTTGTAGGAAGCAAATGTATTAGTATGCAGGAGTCAAACTAACACGTTGTAGTACATAAAATGTTCTATAAATATAAAGCAGGGGATGTTATTGGCTTAGAGATTTAATACAGAAACCACACTAAAAGATGACTGAGAATAAGCCTCCTGAATCTGTTGTTGTTTCTCTTAGCTTGTGTTAACTTGATACTGTATACATTGGGAGTCTCTAAAGAGTGGAAGATTCCCTCAGCTGAGCCTGAGAGTCTTGTGTGTGAGCATGTCCTCAAGGGGAGGTTCCTAAATATCTCCACCATAGTTTTTCAGAGTAAGTGTAGATAGACAAAGGTGAGGAAAAGTGGGAACAGTGAGCAAAGAGAACCAAGTAAGCAAATAGGCAGTTTCCAGGAGAAGCACCCAGGATTATGCTTTGTCTTTTTCCTCACAAAAAAGACATCAATCTGTGGATCTAAAGGACTTATGTTTTGTAGAAATGCTTCCTCCCTAAAGGTGGTCAATGTTCATGCTACAAATGCAAGTTAGCTTCCTAACTAGAAGAGATGTTGGAAAGCCTCCTTAGTACCCAAGGGCTGCCAAAACCAGATATGAGAGATTGCTAAAAAGAAAAACACATCATGGAAAAGGAAAAGAAGGACAAAAAAACTGGTGTTTTTTTAAGCTATGGGAGTGTGAAGTTCAACCCTGGAGAGTGAATAAAGACATTCTGGAAAAGCAGGAGCACTATCTATGCAACAGATACCAAGAAGAATACCAAGGAACTGTCAAGAGAAAAGAATCCTGTTACCACAGGAAGAAGAAAAGTTTGCTTATGGACCTTACTGAAAAGAATCAGAGCATCACTGCCATCACCATCATCACCACCATCACCACCATCACATCACCATCATTACCACCATCACCATCACATCACCGTCATTACCAACATCACCATCAAATCCCTGACATAACTACCATCACCATCCATCAACATCACATAACCATCATCACTATCCATCACCATCACATCACCGCCATCACCACTATCACCATCATCACCGCCATCACCATCATCACTACCTCATCACATCACCGTCACCTCCATCATCACTACCATCACCATCATCACCATCACTTCCACTATCACCATCACCATCATCACCACTGCTAAAATTGATTGGCTGTTACTATTGCCAGACACTGCACTAAGTGTTCTATGCATAACATCTCATTTAATCATTACAACAACTCTATGAGGGCGGTTACTCTTATCTCTATTTTATAGATGAGAAAACTGAGGCTCAAAGAGCGTAAATGACTTGCCCAAAGTCACACAGACAATAAAGTGGTACAATAGGGATTTGAGCCCAGGTAGTCTGACTCTGGAGCCTGTTCTCTTAACACTCTATACCAGAGACATGACTTGCTAATTGGGTGGAGTCCTGTCTTCTGGGACTAGTTGCCTAAAACAAGGTGGGGAGTGTGCTATGACTCACAAAACCCACCAGCTTCTACTCATTGTTTGCTGATCTAAGTGGAATAAATGATACAGTCAAGGAAACTAAAAATGAGAGAGCTGGGGTCTTTAGAGACCTCAGTGATAAACTGAAGGATTTGGGAGGAACAGGTGGTGGTGTCATACTTTCTGCCAGCTGAAGGTTGTAATTTTGGAATAGAGTGGAACATGGCAGGAGTGGACAGCTGGCTCTGCAGAGACCAACCCAGGATAGGGTGGGGTTTTCCTAAGCCTGCTTACTGCCCCATAACCAGGGGCTCCGGGACAGGGTGCCTGAGGTTCCACTGGTAGTCAGGTGTAGAAGGAAGAAGAAATGTCCTGATAGATATGAAGCCAGTACAAAGGGGGCCCACCAGCACAGCATGAAAAGGAAGACCACACGGAGAAGGTGTCCCAGAATTCTCGGGAGGAATCAGCAGGGGTTCCCTACAACAGGAATATTGCTTCTGGTCTCAGATCAGAGTGTGGATAATGCACAGAAAATGGGTTAAAAAAATGTGAAGTAATAGTAACAACCACCACGTATTGGACACATGCATGCCAAGTACTGTTCTAGGTCCTTACAGGCCTGATTTCAATTAATTTTCACACCAGCATTGTAATGAAGACATTAATAACTGTCCCCACGGTATAGATGAGGACCCCGGGGCTAGAGTTCACACAACTAGTAAGTGAGGGAGTTGGGATTCTCTGCCAGGCAGCCTGACCTCAGCGCAACCTCATAACCACAACACTGTACTATCTCCTAAATTTTAACACAAGGTGCTAGGTTTATCTTAGATGTATCACTGAAACATAGAAGGATGGGACTCATGGCTGAAATGCAGACAAGAACAGGTACAGCTTATTCAAATAAGTTTTATTGAAAGGGTAAAATCATGTAGCTCGCCAACACTATGCCTGCGCCCTTGAAATCCGCAAATGAATGACCATCTTAAGCAAAGGAAAGTGAGGTCCAAGGAATGAGGAGAAAAGAGAAACTGTAGTTGTCTTTAAATATTTGAAGGAACTGTCATGTGAGAAAGAGGTAGATTATTCTTGGTTGTATAAAAATAGGAGGAAGTTGCAAGAAGTCAGATCTCAGCTCCATAGAAAGAAGACATTCTTAATAAGCATACCTGTCCAAGGGCAAAATGAACTCCTCAAGAGGGGGCAAACTGCCCGCTCTTGGAGGCAATTAAGCAGAGGATGGTGCCTACCTGTCAAAAATGCTGTCGATTCCTGCAAGGGGTGGGAGGTCTGACCAAATTCTCTGTGAGCTCTGAGCCCCTGTGGAATTATGAAACCCTCCAGGGAGGACTGCAGAGACACATGCTCCGCCTTTGTGGCCTAGAAAGCTTGACCAGGCGCCTGCAGCCTTCGGCTTCTTCTACGCTGAACTTAGGCAAAGCACTTCAGACGCCTGTCTGTCTATAGGAGAGGAGGGGGTGGTCTGACCTTGACCTAGCTAAACTATTATAGTCTGAAGCCCATAATTACTAGAGAGGGAGGGTGAGGGGGGATTTATCCCTGGAGAAAGAAGAAAGGGAAAGTAATAAATCCCAAATTTCTTTATTCTTCCAGCCCCCAACTGAAGGCTTGGGACTTGAAGCATTTTGCAATCAGAGAGCTTCCTGCCTCTGGCTTGGGTTAAGGGATGTTAGAAATGGGCTAAGCAGTCTGAGGCAGGGTAACTGTGGCAGCTGATGCAAGCAAACACTTCATCAGGGCCCCAGATCCTCCCCCAGACTGCTGGACACACCACCCTCCCTAGACACATGGACACAAGCATCCCTCCAGGACTGACTCCCAGCTGAGCGTGATCACTGCCCAGCCAGGCTCTCCTAACTTTGTAAGCGGTGTCTTTTCTCCTCCCTGCTCTGAAGTGTGTGTTCGTCTTCTGGTGCCACAGTGGAGGTTTGTCCTTTGGTAAACTTTGGCCCATGACCCCTTCCTTCTCTAAAGTGGGACATCCAGTCAGCTAGGGCTGAATTCCCAGCTTCTCCCAAGTACCTTGGACTCTGGCTCTGTTTCCTGCCCCTCCCTCGACATTCATTGAGCAACAGGCAGAACACTGGGTTCACCCCACTTTATGTTGACCCAGTGCACATTCCAGGGTGACGGGGAAAGAGAATGAGGGTGCCTCTCTGGCTTGGGGCGGTCTCAGCAGATTCTAATCCTTGCTACTTGGGGCGCAAATATTCGGTATATAAACACACTGGGGGCGGATGGAGGGTGCAAGGTAAATTCTACCCTTTGCCTGGGTGCTATCAGGCCCATTCACTCATACTCATTCACCAAATATGCAGTGAGTTCCTACTATGTGCAAGTGCTAGACAATGGAATAGATTTAACCACAAACCACAGACACAGCCCTTGCCATTGAGCACACAGCTAAGAGCAAGAAAAAATATATACTTGTCCTGCCCCCAGTCAGTGCTTCTCAAACTTTACGTGCTTCTGAATTACCTGGAGATCTTGTAAAAATGCAGTAGGCCTGGGGTGGGGCCTGAGATGATGCCCGTCTGCAAGCTCCCAGGTGATGCTGAGCTGCGGTCCTGAGGGCATGGGGAGCAGCCTAAGCACCAGGCGGAGGCAGTGACGGTAGGGCCTCTGTGGATGAACCGTGGTCAGAATGATGGGCGGGGAGCTGTCTGTAGGAACCCTGGGGGAATCTCTCTTTCTCCCTCACACCAAGACCTCTTTTCAAGAGGTCAGGGTCTCCTTATCTCTCACCTGGCAGAGTGCCTGGGCAGGTACCAGTGCCAGGTGGGAGCAGGGGGTATTTCCTTGACTGGGGCGCAAGAGGATGGCTGGTGGTCCGAGGGTCCAGGATGTCTTCTTGCTCAGTGGAGTCATCTTGTCTTTGCAGATTGTGCTGGGTGCAAGGAGGAGATCAAGCATGGCCAGTCACTCCTGGCGCTGGACAAGCAGTGGCACGTCAGCTGCTTCAAATGCCAAACCTGCAGTGTCATCCTCACCGGGGAGTACATTAGCAAGTGGGTCTCCACCCCATCATCCCCTCCTGAATCTCCAGCTTTGTCTGCCTTCATTTTCTGTCTGTTCACCACACTTTAGCCACAACAACATCTTTCCCAATCCCAGACCCCCACCACGGTGTTTCCTCGACCTGAAGTGCTCGGCCCCATTCTTCACGTGGCTGTTCCTTCTCTTCCTGCTGGTCTCAGCGCCCATGCCTTCTCCTCAGAGAGGCCCCACACCACCTCTTGCCACCTCCAGTCGCCCCGTTACTGGCCCTCACAGTGCCCTGTTTCTTTCCTTCATACAGCTGTCACCATTCATAATCATATATTTATCCACGTTAACTTTTTAATGATGATATGATTCGGAATCGACTTGACAACAACAGGTTCGTTTTTTGTTTTTGGTACCATATATCGCACTTTTAGGAGCCCTGGTGTCACAGTGGTTAAGTGTTTGACTGCTAACCAAAACATTGGCAGTTCGAATCCACCAGCGGCTCCTTGGAAACCCTGTGGGGCAGTTTTACTCTATTCTATAGGGTTGCTATGAGTCAGAATCAACTCAACGGCAATGGGTTTTTGGTTTATTGAGCTTTTATGATGCACAAGGAACTTACTAGCTGCTTTGTATGGATTGTCACATTAAAACCCCATAACTAACCAGTGAAGTATTTTTCCCATTTTAAAACTATGGAAACCGAGTCTTAGAGGGGGTGGTAAGTAATTTTCTCCATTAATAGTGTTTAATGTCTGTCTCCACAAGAATGGGAACTTTGTTTTCTTCATTGCTGTAGCCTCTGCCCTTAGCACCATACCTGACCCACAGTCAATAATACAGTCGTGGAATGAATTTACTTGAATGAAAGGAGATGATGGGCACAGAAAGTTATCAGAAGACAGGGGCCAACCCCCAGTGACCTGCACACTGTAGCACTGGAAGTGTCCCCCCTCGTGACTACATTTACATACTCTAGTACCTAAAATAAATTATGACAGCTTTGACACTTCATGACCCAAATACTTCCTAGGTACCCCTCTCTGGGCCAGTGCTAGAAGACAGCAAGCATGGAAAGTTGCATCATATCTGCTATCAGGAAACTTACAGTCTAACAAGGGAGCTAAGCTCTATACACGAAGAATTATGACACAAGATGATATGTGATAGGGATCTCAAGAGAAGTTTTATTCTTTAAGACCTTTTTGATCAGAAGTGACAGAAAACCCAACTCAAAATCACTTAAAAGCAAAAGAGAGAATTTATTGGTTCATAAAAATGGGGAGGCCAGGGTATATCTGGCTTTAGGCATGGCTGAATCCAGGGGATTAAGGATGTCTTCAGTACTTCAGAATGCTCCGCCTCTCTCTGTCTCTATCACTTAGCTCTGCTTTCCTCTGTGTTGGATCCATTCGCAAGCAGATCCTCTCCAGGTGGTAGCAGAGGTGATCACCAGCAACTCCAGGCTTTCATTCAATTAGTTTAGCAGGCCTAACATAGAGAGAGGCTCTTTCCCAAGAGCTCCAGCAAAGTCCCAAGGCTGCCTCTGATTGGACCACCCCTAGGTCCCATGCCCAAACACTGGCCAGGAAGTTCTGAACCTGAGAGCCAGAGAGCAGTCCTTTGTGAACCACAGTAACTGCAAGTGGGGGAGGGATGGCTTCCCCAAAGGAAAATCCTCGTGAGCTACTGTTACCAGCCGAAGAGGAAATGGGTGCTGGCCAAGTATGCTTGCCTATGTCAGAGGTACAAGTGAAAACCAAAAATCAAACCTGTTGCCATCGATTAAATTCTGACTCATGGTGACCCCACATGTTACAGAGTAGAACTGCGCCATACAGTTTTCTTGGCTGTAATCTTAACAGAAGCAGATCACCAGGTCTTTCTTTTGCTGTACCATTGGCTGGGTTCAAACCTCCAACTAGGGATCTAACTAGCAGAAAGTGGAATCTGTAATCTGTGACAGCTTCATGGAAGGAGGTAGTATTTGAGCTCACTGTGAAAAACCCATTGCTGTCAAGTCAATTCCAACTCATAGTGACCCTACAGGACAGAGTAGAACAGCCCCAAAGGGTTTCCAAGGAGTGGTTGGTGGATTCGAACTGCCGACCTTTTGGTTAGCTGCCGATCTCTTAACCCCTGAGCTGCAAAGAGATTTGAAAATGCAAAGAGGGAAAGCTTCTAAGCAGAAGGCACCGCCTGGGCAAAGGCAGGGAGGTGAGCAAGTGCTGAACACATTGTCCTGCTTGCCAGAGCTTAGGTGTGTGCTCAGATGGAGCAGCTCTGGGGCTGCAGAGGTGAGCCTAGGTCAGATCCACGGAGAGCTTGGAATGCCTTGCTAGTAGAAGTTTGGCATTCCCTCTGTGCCTGCCAAGTAAGGAGTGCCCTTTGTAAGTCTCCAGCCAGGAGTCCTTGAGTCTCTGAGCCCAAGTCAGAATCTCTTGGGGAGTAAGAGTTTGCTTGGAGCTCCTCTTAGGGAGGCCCAGCCCAGATTGCTCACCACATCTTGAGCTTCAGCAGCCTGGCTCTGAGCCCTTTGGAGAGAGAGATGGAGGTGGAGGGCCTGAGCCCCAAGTCCAGTGATGTAAGTAATTCTCACCACAAGAGCCCACCTGCCTCCTGGCCTGAGGCTTCCCGACCCAGCCTCTGCCTCCCTCTACCCCTTTCCTCTTGATCTGTGGCCACTCGGACAAGGCCCCAAACTTGATGCTGCTCTCGCAGACCTCCCTCTGCCCTGGACAGTTAGGTGGGTCCCACAGGAAGGTCATGGGCAGGAGAAGACCCAGAGAGGCGGCACCTAGAGGAAGAAAAGAGAGACAAGGAGACAGAAACAGATGTGGGGAGTAATAGGGGACATGACGTACGTCTCTTTCCTCATCCTTCTGCCAGCAGGGCAGCAGGTGCTTATAGAGGCGCAGGCTCCAGAGTCAGATGCCTGGGTTCTAACCCAGTCTGTGTGACCTGGGAAAGGGGCTCAATCTCTCTGAGCTTCAGTTTCCTCATTTGTAGGAAAGACCTACCATTTGCAGATCTTTCTACCATTTGTACAAGATCTACCTCTAAGGTTGTGCAAAGACTGAGAGATCTGTGCTTCATACCTATTAATAAGTGCTCAGTAAATATTAATTTTATCATCTTACCAACCCACAGGTTCAAATGAGGTGTTGGCATTTACACCCAAATTTTGTTGGCTCATTATACTCACCTCCTGACAATGACTTCATCACCCTGCAGTTACCCTCGCATCTTACATATTGCGGACTTGGACGTGGGGGAGGGGTTTGTGACCTGGGTTCACAAACAAATCCTTGCCTTGCGGACACTGACTCTTTTCCACACCTTTGCTGGGCATCGGTCCACGTTACCGCTTTTCCTCCAGGAACACATTGCCCTGCTGCCCAGCGTGGGCTCCCAGCCTCCCAACGTGGCAAAGCGATGAGATGGAAAAATTACATCCCTGTTGGTTAGGCCTCTGTGTCTGAGCCAAGTTTTGCTATACCCAAAAGTGGGGAAAATGCCCCTCCCTCCTCAGAGTTCAGACCTAGTTCTTAGAGCTAGGTGGGGCCAGAATCTGGGTTGTGGTCTCTGAGCCCCCCAGTCCTATCCACAATGGCCCCAGAGAGCTGAGCACCAGACTGCCTCCTTTAAGACTCAGCAGCCATGGTGATTCTCTAGCTGACATTGACTGAGTACTGAGTATGGGCCAGCACTGTGCTGAGCCCGAGGATACACTGGCCCCATCTCCTTTAATTCTCACAACAATGTGGATGAGAAACTAGACCACCTGGCTTTGAATCCCAGCTCTGAGGGACCTGGGGCAAGTTACTCAACCGCTCTAAGCTCGGGTTTTCCAGTCTGTATAATGGGGATGAATGATAGTTTCGACCTCATAGGGCTGTCAGAGAATTAAATGAAAGCATCTATGTAATATACTATCAGAGAGCCTGGCACACAGCAAGCAATAAATGTTATCAGCTATTAGTCATAAGGGAAACAACATAAAAAAACAACCAAACCAGTTGCCATTGAGTTGATTCTAACTCATGGTAACCACATGTGTGTCATAGTACCACTGTGCTCCATAGGGTTTTCAGTGGCTGATTTTTTGGAAGTAGATCACCAGGGCTTTCTTCCAAGGCACCTCTGAGTGGGCTCAAATCTCCAACCTTTTGGTTACCAGTTGAGAGCACTAACTGTTTGCACCACCCAGGAACTAGTAGTAGGGGTAGTATAAGAACAATTATTAACAACAATCTGTCACTGTGTGATAAGTTATAAGCATGAGATGAAAATACAGCACACAGAAAGAGGTCAAGGGAGGCTTCCTGTTATCTATTGATCTGGGAGCACAGTCAGATGGGTCTTTCACTACAGATGAAAATGTTCTTTCAAGTAGAAGCCCTTAAGGGGAGCAAAAAAATTGATCTCATTGATTACCTCCTAGAAGGGAAACTAGGTGGGGCTGGAAGGAAGGTAGAGACTTTTCCACTTTCTTCATGTAGAATCGGGGCTTGGAACTAATTCCGCCCAGTTCAGTCATGGCCAACGAAGCAAAACCCAAATGGACCTGAATTTTTTAAATGTGGGTAAAGTGGAATGATAAGCAGAACAGGAAAAATTACAGGTTAAAGCCCCGCTAGAAACTTAATCTCCTTCTTAGAAAACAAGGGCAGCATGCACTTTGCATAGCAACCAAATCTCTTGATCAGCAGAGTAGAAACAGTGGTGCCCCGCTCGAAGATGGTGGCTGACCCAGCTGCTTTGAATGTGTGTCACTCTCCACCATCCTGACAATAATCGAATTTCCCATATCAGGTTCCTGAAAGGACTTACTACGCCTCTTCCGAGTCTCCCATTCCAGGGCTTCGACTAGTAATTTTTTCCTCTCTACTTATTGTTCAACTTCACCCAAATTTTAAAGAATTCAGATCTGTTCCAATTTTGCTTCATCAGCCATAACCGAAACAGTTTGAACCAGTTTGAAGCCCTGTATAGAATGCTGAGCTTTACGTAATCATTACCCTTTCTAAAATAAAATAAAAAATGAATTTAAGCGGCATAGTGGTGAAGAGCTATGGCTGCTAACCAAAAGGTCGGCAGTTCAAATCCACGAGGTGCTTCTTGGAAACTCTATGGGGCAGTTCTACCCTGTCCTATAGGATCGCTGTGAGTCGGAATTGACTCCACGGCAACTGGTTTGGTTTTTTCAGTTTTGGGGTGAAGGGAAGATAGTGGGTCTGAGGAACTTGTGGGGAAGAGGGGAAAGAGAGTGAACAAAGGACACCCCAGGCCACAATACAGACCAGTGGTCCTATGCTTGCTTGGGAAGCTTGCCAAGATGCAGATTCCTGGGCCCCACTCCCAGGGATTCTCCAATCAGTAGATCTGAGGTGTGTCTAGGGAGTTTGCATTTTTAATGAGTTCCCAAGTGCTTCTAATGTTGACCCAGTCTCTGCTGGCTACAGGTCCTGAAACCACCACATGATCCCCACCCCCAACTTCCTCTTCCTGTGTGGGTTTCCTCTTGCAGGGATGGCGTTCCGTACTGCGAGTCCGACTACCACTCCCAGTTTGGTATTAAATGCGAGACTTGTGACCGGTACATCAGCGGCAGGGTCTTGGAGGTGAGTGTTTGAGCAGAGTGGCCTGTGTCTCTAAAAAGCCATCACTGAGTGAGTCTGCAAAGCATCTCATAACATGGATGAATCTGGAGGGCATTATGCTGAGTGAAATAAGTCAATCACAAAAGGACAAATACTGTATAAGACCACGACTGTAAAAACTCATGAAAAGGTTTACACACAAAAACAAACAATCTTTGTTGGTTAAGAGGCAGGGGAGGGGTGGGGGGGAACACTAAATAGATAAGTGGTAACTTTGGTGAAGAGTAAGATAGTACACAATACTGGGAAAGCCAACACAACTTGTATAAGACAAGGTCATGAAAGCTCCATAGACACATCCAAACTCCCTGAGGGACCAAATTGCTGGGCGGAGGGCTGCGGGGACCATGGTCTCAGGGAACATCTAGATCGGTTGGCATAATATAGTTTATAAAAAAAATGTTCTACATACTACTTTGGTGAGTAGCGTCTGGGGTGAGTGGCCAGCTAAGATAATCCACTGGTCTCACCTCCTCAGGAGCAAGGGAGAATGAAGAAAACTAAAGACACAAGGGAAAGATTAGTTCAAAGGACTAATAGACCACAACTACCACGGCCTTCACCAGACTGAGTCCAGTAAAACTAGATGGTGCCTGGCTACCACCACTGACTGCTCTGACAGGGATCACAACAGAGGGTCCCAGACAGAGCTGGAAAAAAATGCAGAACAAAATTCTAATTCAAAAAAAAAAAGACCAAACTTACTGGCCTGACAGAGACTGGAAAAACCCCAAGGGTATGTCCCCCGGACACCCTTTTAGCTCAGTAATGAAGTCACTCCCAAGGTTCACCCTTCAGCCAAAGATTAGACAGCCCCATAAAACAAAACGAGACTAAAGGGGCACACCAGCCCAGGCTCAAGGACTAGAAGGCAAGGGGGGACAGGAAAGCTGGTAATAGTGAACCTGAGGTCGAGAAGGGAGAGTGTTGACATGTCATGGGGTTGTTAACCAGTGTCATAAAACAATACATGTACTAACTGTTTAATGAGAAGCTAGTTTGTTCTGTAAACCTTCATCTAAAGTACAATTTTTAAAAAAAAGCCATCACTGAGGAAGGAGAAAGTCACCCCACATCCTGTCTTCCATAACCTCCACCTCTCCTGCTTCATCTACCCCAGCTCAGCTTGCTTGAGCAGGGAACCTCACCTCTGTGGGCACCCCCAAAATGAGAAGGTCAAGAAAATTATTCCTAGTTCAGAAAGTGCTATGCTGGCAAAATCCATTGCTTCTCTGGACTCGGACCCAGATAGATTTCTGTAGGGTAACAGTTATGATTTTCTTCCAGCCCTGCCTGAGGATGGAGCCTTTTTTTATTTTTTAACCATTTTGTAACGTGTCGATTTAAGAACCAGCTTGTCTAGCAGCTTGCTCCTAAGCCCTTCCTTGGCTGGTCCATCACCATGGCAACAGCTCTCCTCAGCCTCCAATGCACAGCTCAGTCTGCTAGTGACAGACAACCACAACACCCTTGCTGAGATCCTGCCTAAGCCTCCTGTCCCCCAGCCTTCCTGACCTTCTTTCCCACACCCTGTGGGTACAGGAAGTCTGCTTCCTATAGTTCAGGACCACCCACCTTGAGGAATTAGGAGCAGGAAATAGTTTAGTATGAAGGAAAAATAATAATGGGAGTAATTGGGTTCTAATATTAACTCACTGCAAACTCACACAGAGATTTTAGGTGAGTGTCTTTGCCTCTCTAGGCCTCAGTTTTCCTATCTGACAATGTCTGGTGGACAACAGACTGAGTCAGCTATTATAAGCTGAGTCATTAATTCTGCCAAATCCGGCCAGTTGGTAGTGGTTACCTGGAGTTCTGTGTTGAGAAGGTATCCGTGGCCACATCTGGACTCAGCAGGGGAGAGTGTAGCAGTCAGGAAAGCACTCCCTGAGGAGCTGGCATCAAACCTGAGCCCTGAAGGATGAGAAGGAGGCCATCAGGTGGAGGGCTGGGGGAAGAATGAGCTTGACCATTCAGGGGACAGAGAGAAAGGCCAGTGTGACTGAATTATATAAATTAGGGGCTGGGGAGGTGAAGTATATCATATAGGACTTTGCATACTGTGTTTATGAGTTTGGCCTTTATACTAAGCACAATGGAGAATCACTGGAGAGTTTTAAACCAAGGAGTTGCATGTTAAGATTATGTTTGTATAAAAATTGCTGTATGGAGAATTGACTGTAGGGAGTCAGAGAGACTAAGATAAACAAATGCACAAGGTCAACGAAGTATGAAGCATGTTGTGGGAGCAGTAAGGAGTGCAACACAGAGGATAAGGCATGAAACGGGAGCACAGGAAAGATGGTTGGGCCCAGGTTTCCAAGGACGCAGAATACCAGTGTGAGGAGTTGGTCAGTAATTCACTGGGCAATGGGAGAGTGACCTGATTAGAACTGCACCTTAGGGCATATAATGTGATAATGTGCATTGGCTAAGTCTGAAGGAAGAGACTGGAAATGGGAGACAAAGGAGGGGGCCACCGCATGACCCAGGCAGGAAGGGCTCAAAATGTAGAAATGGGAAGAACAATGGCCCTCGTCTCCAACATTTTGGAAGTAGAATTCCTATAGTTTTGCAACTTTGTAGTGGGATAACTTGCAGAAGTGGAAATTGAGGGAGAAGAAGCTAAAGGTTGCACACAGATGTCAAGCCCGGGGGATACGAAGTCTGGTGTTGTCATCCCAGAATGGGGGATGGCAGGGGATGGTCTGGGCAGAAACATGAAGAGTGCCATTTGGGACGGGTTGTGATTGAAATCTTGGGAAGGTTTCAAGACAGCAGTGAGAAATGTGAGTCAGAGCTCAGGGACAAAGCTCCAGCCTGGAGGGGCAAATTTCAGAAGCACTTGGATTTGAGTCATAGCGGCCACCATGGGAGTTACCAGGATTTCCGGAGGGGGAGGGACTGAAGCCAGTCTTGGGGAGTGGTGCTTACAGGTGGCAGAAAGAGACTGAGGACTGAGAGGAAAAAGCGGAGTAATCATGGGGAGTGGGAGGAGAACCTGGGGTGACAGGGCAGTGAAAAGACAGAGTTTCAAGAAGGATGGCGAGATCAGTCAGAGTGCTGGTCAAATTCTACAGAGCAGTTAAGGACTATGTCAGCTGAGAAAAAGCTGTTGGCTGCAATGAAAGATCACTTCAAGAGAACAGTTTGTTGGGTCTTTGCAGAACTGTGGGAGAGAAACATCCAGATCGCAGTGGGGTAAAGAGTCAGCGGGACTGGAAATCATAAAAGCAGACTTTTCTTTCAAGAAGGAAAAAAACTTCGATGACTCACAGAGCTGCAGATGGGAATTTGTCCCAGCATTTCCAAGCTTCTTTGAGATTATATTGGCAATGGCTGCCTTTCCCCAACGTGTTACTGTTGCTTAGCATTGTGGTAGCCTCTTCTTGGGCAGCTGTTGTGACTGGGTTTCAATTGATTCTATTTGTACGAGGCTCTATTAGCATATTGCACTTACTGATTTTTTTTTTCCTTAGAGCTGTGAGAGACTTTTAGCCATTAACTACTTCAACCTCCTCATTTTACAGATGAGAAAAATGAGACCAAGACAGGTGGTGCTTTGCCAAGGTCACACGCAGTGTCTCTGGGAGAAACGGAGCTAAAATCTAGAACTCCAGGCTCCCTACCCAGCTCTTTCTTATATCCTACATGCCCACAGCTCCAGCCGCTCAGGGGTCTTTTGAGATAGCATGATGTCATGACAAAAACATGGGTTGGACTGAAACAGACTTGGATTCAAATTGTACCACTTCTAGCTATGAAACCTTAAGAACGTTACTTACTTTCTCCGAGTCTCAGAGTCTTTGTTGATCAATGGAGAATGCTACTGTTCTCTAATTCCTAATGAATATGTTAGGACTTTTTGGTTGCAAATGCAGAAACTACCTTCAAAATGGCTCAAGCAAAAAAGGAAATTTATCAGCTCCCATAATAAAAAGCCCAGAAGTTGTCCTGGCTTCAGGCACAGCTGGATCAAGTGCTCAAACAAAATCAGTTGGACTCTGTCGCCATCTTGGCTCCATTTTCTTCTGTATTAGCTTTCTTCTCAGCCAGGCTCTCCTTTGTGATGGGGAAGTTGGCCACCAGTCACTCCAGGCTTACATGCTATCAGCCAGCAACCCCAGTGGAAAGAGAGCTGTTCTTTTCTAATAGCTCGGCTAACATCCTGGAACTGACTCTCACTGGACAACGTCAGGCCCACCCCACAACCAACAGCTATGGCCATAGGGTTGGAACATGCCTATTGATGCAGTCAGCCCTACTTAACCACATAGATTGCTGTGGGGAACAGGTAGTTCCATCAAAGAAAAGCTTGGTAATGTTCCTGGAAGAAAAGGGAAAGGATGTTGACCAGGCAAAAACAATGGTTGCCCATTACAGGGCCCGGCACATTGCCTGGTACACAAACCCTGTTGCCATCTAGTCATTTCTGACTCATGGTGACTCCACGTGTTTCACAATAGAGCTGTGCTCCATAGAGTTTTCAATGACTGTAATCTTATGGAAGTAGATCACCAAGCCCTTCTTCCGCAACATCTCTGAGTGGATTCAAACTGCCAACCTTTCAGTTAGTAGTCAAGAGCAAACCATTTGTACCACCCAGGGACCTTGCCTGTTACACAATAGGAACTTAATCAATTTCCATTTCCCAGTCCTCTCTCATCCCACTCTTTTCATTCTCCCTTCCCTTTGGCTCTCCAGGCCATCCCACAATCCCTTCTTGGGTGACAGAACCCAATATGCTGAGTGTCAGTCATACCCTTTCTTCCCTGTTTGTGTCCTTATCAAGGAGAACCACAAAACTGGTTTCCTTGTTGCTGCATTTCCTAATCTTATCTGCCTTTCTCTGTCCTCTCCAGTATGACCCCATTTTCCAGGTACCAACTCCTGCCACTTTCTTCACTATTTTCAGTTTGAAACAGACAAAGTGTTTCATCTTATCTCACTGACTTGTTTTATCCTGATGCTGGAGGCAGCCTGCTCTCACAGCCTCTCCTCCCTCAAATTCTTTTCAACACCATCCATGGCCAGGGTTGCTGAGACGGGCACGAAGCCTGTTTCCGTTGGAGTAGGATGGTGGGGTGTGACATTTAGGAAGATGACAAGCTTCAGTTTGCCACAGCACTGTTGCCTCCCTGGAAAACAGGTCTATAATTGAGATGATAAAGAGACACAAAGTAGGAAGAGGCTATTAATTAAACCGATTATCCTTGTCATGGTACAAGAGAATCAGTCCCACGACATCCTAGCTTGGGAAAACAGCAGGCTCCTTCCAAAGTTTGAACATAGTTTGCTTTGATGATGACACAAACATTTGCTCTTTGGGGGGATCTACGTGAACAACCGAGGCAGAAAAAAAAGGGAATATTGGAGTTTTTGTTTTTGTTGTTTTTTGTTCCTTTTGTAAAAATCTGCCTCTTCCACATTCTTGCTAAATTTTTTTTGGAATAAATCGAGTATCTCTAGATTTTGGAGTTATCTCCAGAATAGGCAAGTCCATATCCACCTCGCCCCTCCCCCCTTTTAAAAATGTATTTGGAACTAGACCTTATTATGCAATTATGATTTTTTAATTGGAAGGGACCCTTTAGCATCAGATCAAATGATGACCTGGGAGTCCTTTAACAATCTCCCAATTTTCATCAATTTCTCCCATGCCTACCTGCCCCCCCAAAAAACACTCTTCTCTGATATGCAAAATATACCTTGAACACAAGCTCCACCATCCACCCAGATGGCTGCACCAAGGCCCTCCCGTATAGAAGTTCTAGAGCCACACCAAAGGGCTCTTACGCATCACATCCTCTTGACTGGGATTTTACTGTTAGAATTTACCAAAATGATCAGCATGGAAATGAGTGCTGGGCTAGGTGACTGGCTTTCAGGGCTCCAGAACCAACACTGCTACTGGCTTCCCTGGTGACCCAGAGCAAGGCACAACCTTCCCTGGGGCTGTTTCTTCTACCCCATAGAAGGACTTGCAACTGCAAATAATTTCCATTTTTAATTTAAATAATGGAAGGCACAGAAAGTGGGTATAGGGAAGGGACACTCACCAAAGCCAGACTGGGGTGAGGCAAGGTAGGGGCGTGAAGCACCTGGGTGCAGCAATCATGGGGCTAGCCTGGGGTCAGAAGTTCCAGACGGGTGCTGGCTTTGCCTCTGACCAGTTATTTGTCCACTGCATCTTAAAAATCTGTCCTTCACTTGCCACTGTCACAGTTCTTGCCATGTCTGTGAGCCTCGTGTATTCATTCTACCAAATACTTGAAATTATCTTTAAGTTGGCTCACTTATTATATTAATTGTTTAGGGCTGCTGTAACAAAGTACCACAAACTGGGTAGCTTAAGACAACAGAAATGTATTCTTTCAGTTCTGGGGGCCAGAAGTCTGAATTCAGGGTGTTGGAAGAGCCATGCTCCCTCTGAAGCCTCTAGGGGAGAATTCTTCCTTGCCTCCTCCAGCTTCTGGCAGCCCAAGGTGTTCTCCAATCTCTGCCTCTGACTTCACATGGCCGACTTCCTTCTGTGTGTGTGTCTTTCTGTTTCTTCCCCACTTATAAGGACACCAGTCATGTTGTATCAGAACCCACCCTATTCCAATATGACCTCATGTTAATTTAACTAATTGCATTTATAAAGACAATGTTTCAAATAAGTTCGCATTCACAGGAAGGTACTTGGGGATTGGGACTTGAACATATCTTTTTGGGGGCATAAATCAACCCATAACACTTATATGTAAGAAAACATATATATATAACATAATGGGAAAACCAATATCATATGCCATATTGCAAATAACTAAAAAATAAATATACTTCTAACTAGGCTCTAGTCCTTGTGGAAGCTCTAAGCCTCACACCTGTTCTGATTCTTAAAAAGTTTGACTAGTAAATTTTGGATAATGTTAAAGACACATTAGCACTAAACCAAGACTTTCTCCTTGCTAAAATCAGAAAAATTGAAAGGGGGTTGAGAAGAGGATAATTTTTTTCTCATTCATCCAATGTTATTTAATGCCAGGTCCAAGTACCACTTAAAATTACTGCATGTACCACTAGCAATATAGATCCCACACTTGGGAAAATGCTGGGGTGTCTTAAAAGCAAGACTGTTTCCTTATCTGGAAATGAGGAGGTGAGACAATAGCCTCTGAAGGCCCCTTCCCACTGCCAGAATAGAAGTGAAGGTATCCAAGGAGCCCCCAGAATGACCATCAGGGACGCATGATGTGGAATTACCAAGCTTCCTGGTGGGCTGTGGACTTTTAGATGGTTCTGAACTCCCCTGGGTAGCATACCAACCAACCTCAGAGACATGAAACCACTAACCACACTGATGTACCCAGGAAATGTCCAAACCCAGCCAGCCCCACTGTGCAGCAGTCCTAGCTCTAGCCTCCTTCCTCATCTTCGTATTTCCACAGGCAGGAGGGAAGCATTACCATCCAACCTGTGCCAGATGTGTACGCTGCCACCAAATGTTCACCGAAGGGGAAGAGATGTACCTCACTGGTAAGCAAAGCTGACCCTGGTAAGGCATTTCGATCCACTCATGACTGGAAAGGAGGTACATTCTCCTTCCATGTCAGTGTTATCTTTGCTGTTGGCTTGTCCTCAAAATTGCAATTACTTCGCCCCTCTCTGGGTGGACAGGGAAAGTTGCCGGTGTGGCTAATATGAAGTGACATGTAATCTGCCTCCCATCCCTGGGCGCTTCCCACCGGCTGCTCAGCTGGCTCGCTCCTTGGCAGTGCTGCAGGCAGTCTCCCCTGGCTCTGCCTGGGGTGGAAGTGGAGCTGCATGAGGCCAGAGTGTCCCAGAACCTCAGAGGGATGCCGGGGTCTACCCCCACGTCCTCTCCCATCCCTTCTCCCCACATCTCAGAGCAACACACCAGGCTGCTGCTCAGCTCTCCCCTGGGACTCTCAAGATGCATAAAGAGGAATGGGAGACACCAATAGACCCAAAAAAGCAAACTGAGGCTACTTTCCCTCTTCTACTACCCAAGGTCCAGCCCTCTTGCCCCAGGATTCTTGCAGCAGTCTCCTAATTAGTCTCTAAGCTCTCCCCACTCCTCCATTCTCCATCTTCTGCCCAGTCCATCATCCCAGGGCATCACGGTGCTCTTGGCACTGCCCCATCGAGAGGCCTTCTGGGCCCCTCCCTGCCTACCAGTTCAGGTATAAACACTTCAGCCTAGCATTTAAGACCCTCCTATTGAGGGTCCAAACTTCCTTTCTATCCTTGAGCATACCCAAGACTTAGGCCACCAAAATCAACTTTTAATCATTTATCCATTCAGCAACTATTTCTTGAGCCTCTACATGTGAGACTCTGAGCCAGGGACCCACAGTGAGCTCCACCCATAGTCCTGCCCTCGTTGTCCTACAGTCCAGCTGGGGACATTAGTCAGTAACCACAAAGATAAATGCCAAAGTGTAACCATGGTACATTTTATGAAGGGGAGGTGTATGGACTGTGAGAGCACATAGCGGGAGGAAAGGAGAGGTGTCTGGGAAGGCTCTCTGAGGAAGAGCCAGAAGCTGGGATCCGAAGGATGAGTGGGTGTTAACCGGGCAAAGAGAAGAGGGATGGAATGTACCAGCTGAGGGATAGAGTCTGCAAGGTTCTGAGATGGGCAAGACTGAGAGGAGCTCACGTGGCTGGGGCACAGTGGTGAGAGATGAGTCTGGAGGCAGGCAGCAGCAGGACCAGGCTGGACTTGTGGCAAGGATGGTGTCTGGCCCCTCAAATGAACTCATGGCCCTTCCTTCCTCTGGGTTGTTGCTCTTCCCTTGCATACCTCCCAGAACATTCTTATCTTCTTGTACCTTCCTTTGGAAATTCCATCATTCTAAATTCAGTTCAGTCCACTACCCACCTTTGTAAAACCCTCTTACTCCCCCAACCCCACCCACAACTGAATGCACTTCCTCCTCCCTGAGTTCCCACAGCCCTTTGCTTGCACCTGGTCCTCTCCAGCCTGTATGGTAGTTGTTGGTCCTCTTCCTGTGACCCCTCGCTCTTGCCCTGACCCCTCAGTCCTGACATGGACCCCACACATACTCACTCTACAAGTGATTGTTGTTGGCTGAATTGCTATGACTAGCGGTCCCCAGACGTTGAATAGCCATCCTGGGGAGGAGCTAGGGCCCTTCCTTCAGATTTCCCCAGGAGGCAGATCTGAGACCCAGTAGTTACAGGGAATGTGGCTTCCTATCAAGCTTGTCCTAACCATGGACACCCACAGCTATGAGTTCCCTCAAGACATAATAAGCCCCCTGTGCCTTGAGCATGGTTTCTGAGCCTTGGTACTATTGGCATTTTGGACCAGATAATTCTTTGTTGTGATGAGATGTCCTGTGCGTTGTAGGATGTTCAGCAGCATCCCTCACCTCTACCAACTAGATGCCAATAACACGCCCCCTCCCACTGTGACAACCAAAAATGTCCAGACATTACCAAATGTCCCCCAGGGGACAAAATCATCCCTGGTTGAGAGCCACTGGCCTAGAGCTATTCAACAGAAACTTGTACCATCGCTAGGGATGCTGTAGGAGAGATTCCTCTGTTGAATTGGACTAGGTGACCATTTCTAGGGTGCTATGTCGCTAAGACTACAAATTGACATACAAGTGTTGGAAGTGGAAGGATCTCAGAGGTCACTCTAGATTGTAAAATAACAACCTCCATGGTGTAGAAGGGAAAACTGAGGCCCAGACAGAGGAAGAGTTTTGCCTGAGAACCACAGTGCACAGGGGCAGAGCGGGACCTTGCCCCTGACTCCCACTCCAAGGCCGTCTCTGCTGTACCCTCTGGGACCAGTCCCTGCCTGCTACAGGTCCCAGCAAGGACTAGACCTTCCCCTTCCCTTGAGTACTCATCCCTCGGTGCCAAGGTCCTGAGTGGTTTCTGCTGTGGTCCCCTGTGTTATGGACTGGGAAGTCTACCTGAGTCTCAGCAAACTGACTCCGTCAACCCTGACCACCACAAGAATCAGGACTTTGGGCTTGGTTTGAAAATGTGTTGCATAATATTCCTCTTCCTCTTCTCTCATGAACATATCTCCTAGTTTTGAAGCTGCCTTCATGCCCACATCCCTGCCTGTGCATCACTAGACTATTCAACATCTTTACTTTCCTGCCAGAATTCCTAATCCTCATCTTCCCCATTTAGTACTTTGGGCCCAGGCTGCCTGGGGTTGAATTCTGGCCCCACTGCTTACTCAGTTTTTTGACCTTGGGCAAGTCTCTTAACTCTCTGAATCTTGGTAGCCTTATCTGTAAAATAGGCTAATAATAACCCCTGTAATATATAGTTGTAATAGATTGAATTGTGTCCTACAAAAATATGCATCAACTTTTCTAGGCCATGATTCCCAGTATTGTGTGATTGTCCACCATTTTTGTCATCTGATGTGATTATCTTATGTATTATAAATCCTGTCTCTAGATGTTAATTAGGCAGGATTAGAGGCAGTTATGTTAATGCGGTAGGACTTAATCTACAAGATTAGGTGGTGTTTTAAGTCAATCTCTTTTAAGATATAAAAGAGAGAATCAGGCAGAGAGACATGGAGACCTCATACCACCAAGAAAGTAATGCCAGGAGCAGAGCATGTCCTTTGGACTCAGGGATCCCCGTGCTGAGAAGCTCCTAGACCAGGGAAAGATTGATGACAAGGACCTTCCCCGCAGAGCCAACAGAGAGAGAAAGGCTTCCCCTGGAGCTGGCACCCAGAATTCGAACTTCTAGCCTCCTACACTATGAGAGAATAAATTTGTTTGTTAAAGCCATCCACTTGTGGTATTTCTGTTATAGCAGCACTAGATAAATAAGACACTAGGTATAGTAAGCTCCTGACACATGGTAAGCTCTCAGTTCCTTTATTTAACAAGTACCTATGGAGAATCTACTGTGTGCCTGGAGCTGTTCCAACAAATGGAGATGTCACAGTGAGCAAGTCAGACAAGGTCCCTGCCCACATGGGGCTTACACCCTCAAGTACTAGTATCTCTGACCAGAACTTTGCACAATGCTGAAAGAGTTAAGTGATGAAATAAAGGGAATGGGCTATGCAATCATGAAAAAGCGCACACCATCAAACTTAAGGCAGAAATGCCTCCAGTAGGTGGGAGATATTCTTGGTGATGAAGAAGGGCCTGTCACCCTCCTCGTTAATTATCCCCATCCCTATCCTCCTGGCTCCTGGGAGAGTGGGAGTAATTTCAGGGTGTTTGAGGACCTGCCTTGAGGGACGCTGAGTGATCCTGAAACAAGACTAGACGATACAATGCTGGAGTCATGCTGACTCGGGCTGTGGGCGTCCCTGGGGGTGGCAACCACTGGAGGGTTCTGCTACCCACTGAGAGCTGGCCTGTGATTGTTTTGGAGTCCTTCACCAGGTAGGGCCACCAGGACTCTAAATTATATCTCCCAGAAATAGCAAGAAAACCCTCCTCCCAGCCAGCACAAGAGTGGAAAGAGCCATTTGGGAGCCAGGCCTCCTCAGTTCAAACGTCAGCTCTTCCAATAGTGGGCTTTGACCTTGAGAAGTGACTTCCTTCCCTGAGTCTCTCCCTTCACCTATAAAATATGGATAATAACACTCTCTTTCATTCTTCGATTCAAATTGAGGCCATGCTATGTGCCAGGCACGTGGTTGCTGCCCTGCTGGAGTTTATTATATGGAGGGGGAGATGGACTTTAAAAGCAAATATTCAATGACAGACTGTGGTAGTACCACGAAGAGAAAGTGGTCCCTGATCTAGTGTGAGAGGCCAGGAAGGCTCCCCCTAAGAAGAGACATTCAAGCGAAGATCTTGAAAATGAGTAGGAGGTGGGAGGGTGAGGAGGAGAGGGAAGACTGTGGAGGCAGAGAGAACAGCAGGTGGTGGAGAAACTGAGGCAGGCCCACATAGTTGGTGCACAGAGAGCAAGTGTATGCCATGGTCCTGACGAATGTTAGAGGAGAAGATGAATGTGAAACTGCCGAGTACCCCGTAAAGAAACATCCACAAAAGACCACTTTAGGAACCTTGCTAAGCTCATAAGCCCAGTCTTGTCAGTTCTGTAGCTGGACGCAGAGTGCTACTGGCAAATGGTCCTCGGGAGATTCTTTTGGTCAGTTTGTTTGTGTTTTAATTTCTGTGTGATTGCTTTCTGATGGGCTCTAATTGGGAGAAGTCTGACGTCTGTCTGGATGAGAAATACTAGGGCCCCAGAGGACAAGAGCAAGTTTTCCTGTATTTGTTTTAAGTTCTGTTGTGTATTCAGTCTCTTAACTGTTTTGTAAAGATGCCAGATTTCTAATCTATGTGTTGTCCAAATCCTTCATTTGGACTTCACAAGGAAACTAGGTCACTGATTTTGTGCAGCAAAATTGTAGCCAAAATTCTGCAAGTTTGGGCAAAATTTATACTGAAATCACAAAGGTTATAATTGCTGAACCTATAAAAGTTTTTCTAAACCCAAAATGTGGCCCATGAGATAGATTGTATTCTTTTCTAAAT